TTTTTTTTTTTTTTTGGAGAACAGGCGAAAATCAATGCGCGCGTGGATGTCATCCATAAAATTAACTCGGTATGGCCTTAGAAAGAAAGGGAAGAAAATGTTATCGGTGAATTCTTCTTCCCCCTTCATTAAATTTCTTCAAGCTTGAACAAGAACATCTAAACAGTTATTAATAAAGTTCACCGATTTTGGCCGATAGCTATATACGAAATATCTGACCTTAAATCTTACAAATACAAATGTAGAATACACGCGTCTTTTTTTCTATTGACATACTTCAGCCAGAGTGAGAATTATTATCAGAAACAAACAGTTAGGGGTTCCAATCGTACGTTATTGCCTCCGGGGAAGGAGACATCCTTCCGCGGAAGGGTTTTGTGAGAGATGTAGATTTTCATGTTCGCAGCTGTTTCTTGCGTTTGGGTGGACGGATTTTTTTTGGACTCGGTATATGTTTTGCTATTGGGCTGAAGATGATGCACGTTCCTTTGTTTTTATTGTATATGTGTTTTTTGGCGGGAAAATGGTGCCTTTTGGTGGCCCCAAAACACCCCTTTGAGCGTGAAAATGGTCGCGACCTTTGGTGTGTTTAAAGTATTTTCGGTCGGGTCCACTTGTATGACCTTTCGCACAGAGGGGTGTCCGGTCTCGATAAACAAACAAACAAACAACATATAAGAATATACACAATAAAAAGCCCGGAGGTATAAAATCTCAGATTTTACTTGTTTCTTCTCTGTCCTTTCTTCTCAAGCACAAAAGCTATCTATCATTCTACCAGGACGCCCAAAATATACTCATTTCTCATGAAGGGCTACCCACTAAGCTTGCCAAGTTTCAGGAAAGTTATCGTTCTAAACCACATACAAACATACCCACATACACGCGATGTACATACGTATATACCCACAAACACATACAACAAGACTGGCAATGATATATGAAAACATACATTGCCATGGCGACGGTGGCTGCTATTTATTGTTTGCATGACACTGCCATCATTTCATGATTTCAAGGAAGACTTGCTACCTGTTAAGTCTAGACAGATTCAGTGCAGATAGAGTGTATAGTGAACGAGCCCCGGGGTCACAGAAACTAGGGCCATCTGGGGCAGAGAGGTCTTCCCAAGTGTTTCCAGGAATGTGGGCATAGATGTGGGTCAGAGACATGCCTGTGGACATTCCATTCCTGTGGACAAAATTCCTGTACAATTCCTAGAATTCTTGCAAACTGACTAACTGTACACAATACTGTACCATTAGGCTCCTCCCTGAGACGTCGCCATAAAGGTCCCGTTCCACTCTATTACAGAGCATAGGGGTGGCGCCCATCTCCATTTGCGAAGCTGGTGTGTTACGCCGAAAGTTGTGCAATCACTACAGCAGGGGGCTAGCCCGCTGGTACTGGTGTGTGTTTGACCTTCCCATACTCTTTCTCAAAGATGAGTGCTAAGCAGAGAAAGCAGCATGTACCATTTTTAAAGCCTTTGGTATGACAGGTTTTTAAAGTAGGTTGTGCCGACGTGCTTGCGTTAAACTGTATTCATCCAAACGTTTTCTTTTCACCAGGAGCCAGGCGATCGTAGCCTCTACCAGGCTTCGGAAGGCGGCTGGAAATAGTAGAAATCGGCAAAATCAGAGATAGCATGCCAGGGGAGCTTGGATGGCCAAACAGTTTCGGGAGCGACAAACTGTTCTCTCCAGCCTACCAAACTCCCCTGGCATGCTATCTCTGATTTTGCCGATTTCTACTCTTTCCAGCCTCCCGAAGCCTGGTAGAGGCTAAAGCGATCGTGCCTTGGCCCGGTCCACACAAATCCAGACATCTTCAAGTTCAGCTAGATATTTATTGACTTAGAAGCTCTCACGATCGGCCACCTCCCTCCACCCAGGTTCAAGTCGCCAGGGACACACCACGAGCTGAACAAATAAATCCCGCGGTCAAAGACAAATCCCAGGCGAGGTGAGACAGCGACTTGTCTTCTTGTACAAACACTTGAAGGAAGTACAGCCGTGCCTCTCACAGAGTCGCGCGAGATGTCACCCGGGACGGGGTGAACGTACGTGGGTGCCCGATCTAGTTCTTCATGTCGAATGCTTTCAGAAATCAACAGTCGCGGATTTTTTGGTGAGCACAGCGTAAAGTAACATGGTGGGAGTGACGATTTCTTTTCTTTAACCCTTGTCCTGCTGGCATTTTAACACAATATTTTTCAAGAATTTCATGTCTTAATCAGGTCATAGACCCATGATTTTTTTTTGCCCTGCGGTGGCATAGTCACTTCCGCATTCGTTGCGTTTCGCTGCGGTGTGATGCGTTGCACGAGAAATAAAAATATCGTACCTATACAGATATATAGATGTTATATAGATGGTACTGTATTTGCAAAACAACAATTGTTCGGCTCCACAGGACGCCCGAAACGACTTCAGGGCACTCAAATTTCATTGTGTTTCATGTGTGTTTCCGCACATTTGTAGTCATCATAACTTCAGAACGCCTAGTTTTTGGATTGTGATGATATTTGGTATGTTGGCAGGTCGTAGGAAGACAAAAGGCCGTGGTGGCTGACCTTGGTACTGCAGCAGAACGTCCGATCTTTGTATATTTTGCCTTTAATTGTCTTCGTATGGCTGGCATGGACTGTAAAAATGATGGGAGGGCAAAATGACTAGGATTTGTTAGCGTTTCATTTTATTTTTTTCACTGAATAATGTTTCTCTCTTTTTCTTCAACATTTGCTTTATCATATTGACTTACTCCGGAATATTTTGCTTGTTTTAATACTTTCTTCTTTCATTTTCGTTGATTACACTTACGGCACGAACTTACTTAACGTTGGAATTAACGAAGAAATGCAATGACAATATCAGCCAATGTTGACAACGACTACGCCTATGACTTCTTATCAAGAATCTGTATCTGTATCTGTATCAGTATAGCCAGCATAAGCGCCCTTCGGCGTAACACACCAGCTTCGCAAGCACGCGGCGCGGTGGCAGCTAGCTATATCACACCCGACGACTTGTTACAATCAATCTTTGCACATTTAATTGCAGGAGTTGTTTAAAATTAAATATTTCTAGTGATGGTGCCTCAACTGTGCTTGGTGGCAACGAGTTCCAGTCTACGATAGTTCTGGGGAAATACGAGTTTTTGAACACCTCAATTCTAGGTTGAGGGTTGAAGAAGACTCCCCAACCCGCAGATCTAGCTGATGCCAGTCCCTGTCTGTGAGAAGAAGACGCTATTTGAGCCTACACACGCTAGGAGGGCGTGTCAGATTGGTCACCGTCTATTTTGTCTGGAGAGGCTTCCTGCAGGACACATATACCGGATTTGTTCACAGAACCAGGAGACTTGAAAGAGCGCATCAAGCTTGCAAGGGGATGTTCCAGACCGCTAACTTGACATTTCCATGTGTATCTGCTGCTGACTTATGATCCAGCTGATAAAGATGACTGCGAGCTACGTCATAGCGGGTGTTATCATGATTTGATGATCCCCTACACGTGTATGTGTCAAAACACAGCTGGATCCTTTTTTTCTCCTAAGACCAGAACAAATAAACATAAGGCCATGTTGATTTCATCATATGGATGACATCTGCGCGCGCATGAATTTTCGGCCGTTTTAAAAATATAATTTAACCATACTGTAAATTGTACAAAACAGTTGCAAAAATAAGCAAGTATATACCGTACGTTGCTAAAAAAATATTGGAAAACGATACCATTGTCGAAGAATGCCAAAAATCAAATGAAAAAGACGAAAATGTGAAGAAATGTATTTGAAGAGTAGATTATTCGCCATACCATGCTCTGTGTCATTTGTTC